CGAGCGGCGGGAGGAGGCCGCCGCCGCCGCCGCCAAGATGGCGGACCTGGAGGCGGTGCTGGCCGACGTGAGTTACCTGATGGCCATGGAGAAGAGCAAGGCCACGCCGGCCGCGCGCGCCAGCAAGAAGATCCTGCTGCCCGAACCCAGGTGAGGCCCGCCGCGCGCCCCGGCCCCGACCCCACCGCAGCCCCGGCGCCCGAGCCCCGCCGGAACCCCATCTGCAGCCCCAGACCACGGCGACGCTGGCCCTCGGGACCCCTCTGCCCTGCTAGTGCTCCCGGGCCGGCAGCCCCGACTGGGTCCCAGGCCCCGTGCTCGTGCACCAGGGGGCCCCGGTTCCCAGCCCCACTGCCTCCCAGGCGCTCCTAGCGCCCCCGTGGCCCCACTCCGCGGTCCCTCCATCCCTGTGAGCCCCACACTCCTGCCTTCTCGCCTTCAGCCTCTGAGCAGCTCTGCTCCCGGTGGGGTCCCTCCCGCCTGCCACCATTTGCTCGGCGGTCGCTGGCACCCATGCTCTGGCTGCCTGTCCTCCCAGCACCCGCTTTCTCTCCCCACCCTTGCGGGTTGTGTGAGGTTGGGGTGGGGGGCAACAAGTTTTGGGGCACTTTCCCGGGGTTCTTCCCCACTCCTCTGGCAGAGCACCATCTCGGGGTTGGATCTGGGAGTGCTTTGGGGGCAGGTGTGTGTGTGTGGTGGGGGGGGAGGCCCCATGGGATGTAGGCATGGTGTCAGGTGGGCTGCGCTCAGTTGCTCAGGGCGGGAAACCCACAGTGCCCTGTTCTCTTGACCTGTCCCCTGTGGCGGGCCCTGTGTGTGGTGTCCCCTGGTGACCAGGGGACATCCCAGCTCGCCAGCAGCCTCTGGGCCAGGGATGCCAGCTGACAGTGTCACCATGCCCAGTATCAAAGTTGCAAACTTTTCGAGGTGCAGGGCGAGGGAGTGTGTGGGATACGTGCGGGCTGGGGCTGTCTAGCACTTTATGGCTTTGCCAAGGCCTTCTCGTTGTTGGGATCTCCCGGCACGCCATGGGGTGGGTAGGCCAGGTGTGACTTCATCCCTGTGGAACAGGTGGGGAATAGAGAGGTGAGTGGCCTGCCCACGGTTACGCAGCTCACACAGGGTGGAGCCCAGCCACCAGCTCAGGGCTTCTAGCTCTCCATGCCGTCCACTGCCTGGACACACTGCATCTGCGAGGGTCTTGTGCCCACCACGACTCCTTGTGTCACAAGGCCAGTCCCAGCCATTCCTCTGTGTGTGCCTGAGAGCAGGCCTGTGGTGACTTTGGGCGAGTCCCTTCCTGTGTCTGGGCCTTGGTTTCCTCATCTGTGCAGCGGGGTGACATGAGATGAGTGCTGAGGCCCTGGAGCAAGGCTGCAGGAGGTGCGAGGTGGAGGTTCCCACTTGGCGCCCTCTGCCCTGTCCTCTGTGCTGGGTTTCATGTTGACTGAACACCAAGCTTGGGAGAGAGAAGCAAACAGACCTGTCCTTTGAAAAGGCCGTTAGGGCCCCTTTTCTTATGAGATGTTTCCCATTAGATTTCTCAAAACGGGAACCAGAGCCGTCAGCTGGGGGCTGTCCAGGCAGCGAGACAGTTAAAATGAGTTCAGAAATGACAAAGCCACGAGGGAGGAAACGGGGGAGCCAACCGCAGGGGCTCGCAACGGCTGTTGTCGGTGGTGGCCGCAGCCTCCAGACCCTCCTGCAGGTTGAAGTTTTGTGAACTGGGAGGGAGAGCCTTTTCTAGAAGTCTCTGTTTGGGTAACCTGGCCCCAGAATGCATTGCCCGTGATGGGGCCCCGCCTTGGCTTGGCTCTGCAGGTGTCAGAACCCTGAGAAACAAGCCGTTCTTCTTTTCCCGTCTCCTTGGCTGTCCGGGGCAGTGAGAGTGGCAGTGACAGGAGTCAGGAGGGCAGCGTAATCGCTTGTTACTGATTTTGACATCTGTCATCTCAGTTGGTCCAAAAAAAGAAAAACAACCAGTGAAGTTGGCCAGCCTCGTGCCACATGGAACAGTTGCCGCAGAAACACCCGAGCGCTGTGCCGTGGCTCCCCTCTTCCTGAGTGGAGACCAGGCAGCGGGCGTTAGGGGAGCAGCCGGAGGCAAGAGCTCAGTGCTGTGGCTTCTCGTGAGGATCACCATCTGGCACCCCCACACCTGTGAGGTGGCCGGAGGCACCCACACCCAGGGAAGGGCCGGGAGCTGCTGTTCAGTCAAGCTGGCCACCTTCCCAGCAGTCTAAGCCTCCATGGGGGACAACACTCCAGCCAGTGGGTCTGATGCCTGCTGGCCCTGGCACTGATAGGACCCTGGTTCACATTGGCATGGGACTTCCCAGTTTGCAGAACAGTCTGGACCCATGTTATCCCTTTCACAACATGGAAGCAAGCACCGCCGGGGGTTTTCTGCCTACTTAATAGCTAGAGAAACTGAGGCTCAGAGGGGGAGACTCGGTCACTGAGAAGAGCTGGGATTTGGACTCAGGCCTCTGGACTCCTGGGCCGGTGCAATTTTCCTGTTGCTCATCTTCTCCATCTTCTCAGCCGTGACGCCTCTGCTCTCATCTTGGTCCACACTTTATGGGATGTGCCGGCTGGCCCCCTTTCCCTAAGCACCGTGGGTCTGGGGCGGGGACCTAGAAGCAGCAGGGCAGCCCTTAGCACCGTCTCTGGCGTGGTGGGTGGGGTCCAGCCCTGGCCAAGCTGGGCATGGAGGAGGCAGCCCTTCTCGGGGGGTCTTGCAGACACGGGGTGCCCCCACTCCGAGGTCAGAGTCCTGGAGGAAGGCCGTGGCTCATCCCCATCGCGAGGTGCCGTTTGGGGTGGTTCCACCTCGGGGTGGTCCGTCTTGGCAGCTGCCCCATGGCTGACACCCAGGTTGGGCCTTAGGGGCCCTGGGCCGGGCCTCACAGCTCTCTCTTCTCAGCCCCAGAGAATGGGAACTGGTGGGCACGGTGCCACTTTGAGTTGGCACGGGGGCCTCCCCTTCTGTCGCCCTACAGAAGCCAAGGGACAGGGACCTGCTTCTTCACCTCCCATGGAAGCAGGCAGTGCTGCGTAGCTGGGAGACAGGACACCTGTCTCGTAATCCCTCTGTGAGATCCTTACGCTCCCTGGGCCTGCCTCAGTTTCCCCCTCCGCGACACGGGGGAGGCTGCCCTTCCTTGTGACCTCTCAGCGCCCCTCCAGCGCTTGCCTGTGGTTCTGGAAGGAGCAGCACTCTGCCCCTTTCTGGTAGCAACAGCAGCCCTATAATTACTATCAGTTGCTTAATATGACCACGGAGACCTTGTGTAATTGCTCTGTGGGTTTCTGGCGGGAGGAGCCCGGTGCCCCAGGAGAGGCCCTGACCCCCTCCCGGGATGGTGGCAGCCCCAGAGGAACGACTGGAGCTGGAGCGGGCCTCTTGCAGCCCCACGTTCTTGGCTGTTTCCTGGTCCCTCCCCCACCATACAGTTTCCTCCTTCCCAGCACCCCAGACCCGCTGCTCTTCCTCTTCCTCACTGCGTCTTCTCTTCGTTCCTGTTAACCCTTTGCACCCAGGACTTCCTGTCCTTGATTTGAGGCCCACGGGGTGTGGGGTGCGGTGGCCAGCTTCTTCCCTCCCACTCCCTCTCCATCACAGCCGAACCCCCGCTGTCTGCAGCCTTCATTCCCCCCCCGACTTTCCACTCCAATTGCAGCCTGGGCTCCCCCCCTCCCTCCTGCCCCTGAAAACAAGATTATCTCCTCCCTGGTTGGTCGTCACTCCCTCAGACCGCTGAAGGTGCCTGTACCCCGGGAATCAGTCTCCGGAAGCCTTTTCCCATCTGCTGTCCCCGCAGAGCTCGGCAGTGCCATTAAAGCACTCGCTGCCCGCTGTTCCCTTGGTTAATGGATTAGGAGGCAACGGAGCTGGCCGGGGTGGGATCTGTCCGTGCAAGGGAACCTGGGCTCTGTCAGCCCGGGAATCCCACGTCCTATTAAAGCACGAGCCTCGTAGTAAATTCCCAGTGACGTCGGCACAGGCACACTCCGCAGGCAGCCAGCGTCGCCTCCCGGCGCCCAGGTCTCCTGTGCGGAGCTGGGCTCCTGGGCTGGCTGCGCGTGGCTGTTGCTTCCATGACAGTGTGCTCCTGCCTGGGAACCAGCACAGAGAAGAGACGAGAGCAGGGCACGTGACCGGCGTTGAGACCCCACCGTGTCTCTGTCCAGCCCCGCCACCTCCGGCCAGGGCCCTCGCCCCATCCACTCAGCCCTGGGGATTCGTGTCCTCTGCTGGTCACGCAAGCCAGAGTCCAGCTGAAGTTTGCACCATCCATTTTAAACCAGAGCTGCTGAACGTGAGCCGTTGGGCTGCAGCGTGTTTCTGACATGTTCCGAGCTTCAGGGTAGGGGCTGGGTCGGCGAAGACCAGCCTATGGGAAGGGAGTCTTCTAGTGTGTTAGCAGCTCTGTTGTGGAAGGGGTAGGGCTCTGACCCCGGAAGTCATCCTAGTCGGGGGGGCTAGGACTAGGCCTGAAACCGCAGGACGAGGCGTCCTGGAGTTCGTTCAGGTGTTCTGTAACGGCAGGCTGCAGTTTCCAGCGTGTCGGCAGTAAGGCACCGGGCGGGGGTGCTCGTGGCATCCTCACTCAGGAGCCCAGACACGTGACAGGCCACCCAGTGCCTCTTCCTCTGCACCCCCCAGTAAGGGAGCCGCTGCACCAACGTGGCCTCGGGCTCTGGTTGCCATGGGCATCAGTGGTGGTTCATGTGTGCAGCGTGGGAGGGGGTGTCATTCTCTCTCCCGCCCTGGCCTCGCTCGAGTGAGTTGGTGGTTTGGATTGGTCTTTGCCATTGGTACATGGTGCCGACCTTGAGCTCTTAGGATCTCTTCAGCCCCAGGGAGAGTCCTTGAGAAATACTAATGAGAAGCCCCAGGGGCCTTCCTCCTGCTGCTGCCACCGCGGCGCCAGGTTTCCTGGAAATGCCACAGAGGAGCACTTCAGCCGTGACCGCAGCTCTGCCCCGCGGGCCTCTTAACTGTCACCTTCCAGAGTGTGGCGCTGTCCAGCGTGGCTGCCGGACCCAGCACGTCCTGTCTTGGGGTTTAGCGTCACCGTCACCTGAGAATCGGGGACCACGGCCCCTGGCCTGCTGGGTGCTGGCTGAAGGGCTCCTGGGCCACTGGCAGGGGTGGGGAGGGGGCCTGGGGCAGCAGCCCAGACAGAGACTGGTCTGAGTCCAGGACCCTCCAAGACCCCTGCACACCCTGAGCCCCTGCCCTGGAGGGAGGCCATTCCTCAGGGAGAATTGGACGTCTTCTTAGTCCCTAGCCCATGGTGGGGCACCGGACGGGTTGTTGGACGTCTCCCTGCCCCTCCATTTCCTCAGCAGACAAATGAGCTGGCTTGCCCCTGACCCCTGCAGCCCGCTCCCAGCCACGGGAGCTCCAGGGTCCGGCCTGAGTGGGGTCACCCGTGTGGGCCCAGACCAACGCGTCAGGCCAGAGCACGGGACTTTGCTTTTCCTCTAAACGGCGTGGTACCAGAAGGTTCCGGAAGTTCTCCCCTCAGCACTCACCCCTCCCTGCCTGCCTGCTGTCTCATCACCCGGGCCCTCATGTCTCAGCCGCACACATGGCTGGGCGGGAGGACGCCTTGTCTCCCCAGGTGCAGGCCTGCTCCTCCAGGCAGCAGAGCCGGTGTTCACGGCCCTCTGACGGCGAGGATGCGGGGGGCCTGGGGCTGGATGGGCCTCCTGGCACCGGGCACCTCTGCTCCGGTGCTCAGTATGGTGGCAGGCAGGTATCGGACACTCCCCACAAGGCACTCTGTCTGTGCACCACCAGCGCCTCGGGCGGGGCTGAGTGAGGCTGCAGCCGTGTGGCTAGGCTCAGCAAGCGTGGGTGGGTTCCGGACAGGGCTCCACGAAGCCCCGTCCTGAGAGAGTGACCAGTGTCGAGCAGAGACCCAACAAGCCCACCGGCACATGACCGACCGCATCCTAGAGGGGCCAGTGCGGCATCAGGGAGCCAGGGGTCACTCAGGCCTGCTGCGGGAGGCGGACGCCCACTGAGGCGTCTTGGCAAACCTGGCCCCTGGGCGAGCTCCCTTTCTGCTTCCGGCTTGCTGGCTTCCTGAGTGGCCAGTGCGTTTGAGGCAACTCAGCATTCTGTCCACAGCCTCCTTTTGCAAAATGGGGAAACTAGGCATTTCAAGTTGGTGGCTCGGCCTGGCCTCCAGGGGAGAGAGGTGGCAGGCAGGCCCGAGCACCTGGTGGCTGCAGGGCAGAGGCCCGAGCTCTTCCCTCAGGGGGAACCTCCGCGGCCTCTGCTGGGACCCTTCCACCACTTGTTTCTCTTACGATTCCACAGAGATCTTTGGAGGTGCCTCCTCCTGAAGGCGGGGCGCTCGACTTGGTGATGGCGGGGACGTGGTTTCTCGGCGCCTTTGCCGCTGCAGCTCTGCTGGGGTCAGGGAGAGGTGTTGGGATGAGGGCTCCCCGTCAGCCCAGCCTCACCACTCCGTGTCCTCCAGCAAACAGCTTTCCAACCTGCCAGCTCCCTTGGCTGACGGCCCAGTGGGGATAGACAGGAAACCCCAACATTGCCACTTTGGGGACCTCCCATTCAGGGACTCTGCTCGGGCTTGACCTCGTGTTTGGCTCCGGGCAGGTAGTGTTTGCTTTTTCTTTTTCCCTTAGTGAAGAAGGTACAGTGTTGAGGGCTGAAGGAGCACGGAGGCTGGACTGGACTTGAGGGCTAGGCCACGAGGCTGTCCCTGAGCAGGGTCGCCAGGAGGCAGAGAGCTCCGCCCGGCCTCAGGCAGGTCCTCTGGCAACACTGGCCCCGTCGCCCCTTTAGAGCAGCTGCTCCCGGCAGGGCCACCGACTGCATGGTGGTCCGTGGTGTCGACCGCGGGTGGGGCCGTCCCATCGTACAGCCCTTGCTGGGCTGACAGTGGTCTTACTGCTTCCCAGGAAGGGAGTCTGGGGCTCAGGGGGCTTCCTACTGAGGGGTGCAGCTACCTGAGGGGCTCACACCTGGCGGGGGACTCACTCTGCCTGTCACCTACACCTCCCTGTCCACGCCTTAGACCATGCACCTTCATGGAAGGGTGACATTTTGTGAAGGTTGACACTCTTTATTGCTTTATCTCATACCCATCCAGGGGCCAAAATGTCTGTGCAGGGGCAGGAGTGCCGAGAGCTAAGCTGGGTGTGTGGGCCCCACCGTGGGCCACCTCTGGGCTCAGTCCAGGCAGGCCCTTGAGGGGTCCCCAGGCTCCACTCCCCTTACTTCTGCTGCCTGGTCTCCCGCGGGAGCCACTGGGCCCTGCTCCCCGCCCCTCCACCCAGCCAAGCCAGCCCGTCGCCGGTTCCGCTCAACCCGACTCTCACGGCTCAGCAGGAAGGTCCCGACCGGCACCTGCAGAGCTGGCATTCTCCACTTGGATTGTCCACTTGGAGCCACAGAGCTGAGGGCAGGCCTTCTGGACCCAGGTTTCCAGTCTGTGGGCCCCAAAGGCAGGATTGTGTCTCCATCCTGCTACTTCTCCAAGCTCCTGACATGTGTCAGCCATCATGGGAAGAGCTGCCAGATACCCACAGCTAAGACGGGGACTTGTCCTCAATCTCCGTGTCCCTGTCTGTCCCATGAGGCCTGACTGGTGGACACGAGCTGGTGTGTGGCTCTAGCAGGGGAGGGTGAGCCAGAGCGGATGAGCCTGGCTCAGGGGGCGTCCTCGCTGTCCCAGAGACGCGAGCTCTGGAGCAGCCATGCTGTGGTCCCAGGCCTCTTGGCCGCTGGGCCTGGGCCGGGCTCGTCACTTGCCGGTGGGCAGGCTCTGGGCTGAAGGAGGAGCAGGACAGGAGAGCAAGGCTTGCCAAGGGCTGTCCTGGTCATCAGCTGTCCAACTTCCTGTTGGCTTCAGCTCTCCAGGGAGTTCACGTCATCCCCCACCAGAGCCGAGCCAGCAGTGGGGTCACAGTTTCAGGGCTGTGCTGACGACAGCCGTGGTTGCTCTTGTCAGACCTGTGTGGCCTTTCCCGAGATGGTGTCAAACCCTAGCTGGGGCCTGGGAGGGCTGGACTTTCTCGGAAGGAATGTACTGTGCAGAAGGGGCAGGCGGGCCCCCCTGGAGCACAGGTCCCCTTTCTGACCCTGGAGCCACCATTCTTCCTAAGTCCTAGGCCCAGAGCCTCTAAGACCCTGTCCTCCCAGCAGGCCTCGTACCTGCTGCCCTGCATGGCTGACCCTCACTCTGCCTTCTGTCCCGGCTGGGTCCTCACCTTCCTCCCACGGGTGCTTCCAGCAGAGTCTGTCCATTCACCTCCTGGGTCAGAGCCCTGTCGCCCTAGCGCTGGGCACCCCAGCTCTGCCCCCTGGCTACCGGCCCTCCTGCCATGTCCATGTCTGGGCCACTGCCTCCTCCTCGTCCCTAGTGGGCCTTCCGTGCCCCTCCCCATGCCAGCCACCTGCCCAGAGCTTCACCGTCTGTTGACACCCCATCTGTGCTGCATGAACCAGGTGCCTTGCACACCGTCTCTAACATCATAGAACCCAGGAGGGCCTCGTTAGGGGGCAGGGCCGTCCTCACGGGACAGTCGGGCCCCTGCACTGGAGCCCACGTGGCCAGGCCAGCCCCAGAGGCAGGGGCATAGAGAGCCGGGGCTGCACACAGAGCAGAGGGCACGGACTTTCAGGCTGAGTCCTGCCCCTGCCCAAGTGGCTCACCTTCCACCAGCCACGTCCCTTCCCTGGGGGCCTGCTGGTGACCCACATGCGGGCCCTCGGTGTGGCCCACTGTATGCTTCACCCCAGAAATCCAGGCTAGTGAGAGCCAGCTGTGTCCGCAGCTGCCGGAGGCATCCAAGGCCAGGAGTGTGCTCAACGGTGGGCGGGTGACACAGTGGAGGGCAGAGAGTTTGGACCTCAGCAGGCAGGCCTATGGCAGACCGCTCCCCCACGGCCCCACAACTCAGGGAGCTGGGGTTGGGAGGTGTATGTGGTTAATTGATAGGGGTACAGATGATTTGTATCAGCTGCTCACCTGAAGGCTGGCGGTTCGAACACACCCAGTGGCACTGTGGAAGAGGTGCCTGACAGTGTTCCTGTAGCCTTCAGAACCGCGAGAATCTTAGGGTACGGTTCTGCTCTGTAAGACGTGGGGTCGCCATGAGTCAACTCAACAGAGGTGGGTGTTATAGACAAGGGTGCAGGCTGGCCTGTGTTTGTTCTTTTCATGATACCACTTTTTTAAAATTGAGGTACAACTCGCAGGACATTAACCCGCCGTCTTCGAGCACGTGCTCAGCGGTTCTTCGGCTCATCACGAAGTTACGCAGCTGTCACCGCTGTTTAATTCCAAAGCTTTGTCATTGGCCCAGCAAAGCCCCGAGCCCATCACTAGTGCTCCCCACCCTCCTCTCTGCCCCGACAGCCAATCTGCTCTCTGTCTCTAGGTTTGCCCTCTAGATGCTTCACGTAAACGGGGTCACACAGGGCCATACAGGACGCGGCCTTTGGTGACTGGTGCCTATCACTCAGTGTGATGTTGTCAAGGTTCCCTCACAGCCTGCCATCCATCCAGGTTCCTTCCCTCTCAAGGCTGAATGACAGTCTGGTGTATGGTCGGGCTGCACAGTGTTTACCCTTGACCAGTGGGGCCTGGCTTTGGCGATTGGGCAAGTTCTCAAAGCTGGCCCATGGCAGCACTGGGACAACACTTGGGCCAGTGGGCCCGGTCTTGGCTGCTTTGGGGCAGAGCCTGGGTGGCAGGCATTGGCTCCGGGTGCCTCTGGTATGCTCAGTGCTCCCGGCAGAGGCCTGCCTTCCCGGAGGGAGTGATGACCCGGCAGCCCTCCAGCCTCTAGCTCTGGTCCCTGGGCAAGGTGGCGGCGGCCCCTGGGCTCCCGGTCACCTGCCACCTGTCCCGCAGCATCCGCAGTGTCATGCAGAAGTTCCTGGAGGACCGGGGCGAGGTGGCCTTTGAGAAGATCTTCTCCCAGAAGCTGGGTGAGTACAGAGGCCCCTTGGAGGAGGCCCTGCGGCTGCTGAGGGCTGTGACCCTCACACCTCCCCACCCCAGGCTGCTGGCCCTGAGAGCCCTGGAGGGGGTGGGGCCCAGCAGTCTTCCAGGGCCCCAGGGAAGTTCCTGCTTTAGGGTTTTGTTTTTGAGACTTGCAGCTTCCCCTTGGCCCAGGCCACAGCTGCTGGGGCTGTTGGTGGAACTGACAGGAAGGGGCGGGGCCCTTCCTGTGGCGCCTGCCCGCCCTGAGCTGTGGTTGGCCTGCCCCGCCCGCAGCCCTCAGCCCTCAGCCCTCAGCCCTCAGCCCTCCGCTCTCCTCCTCCTGGCCCTCCCTGTCTTATAAGTGTCCTGCGATCTACACTGTGGACTAGGCCCACGGGGCGGGGGCTTCAGGAACGGGCCCTGGCCCACACCTGGGTGGGAGGCAGCCTTCCAGCAGGACTGCCTCTGCTGTGTGCCCGGTGAAGGGGAGCAGAGTTTGGGTCCAGGCCTGTGCTGTGTGACCTTGGGCCAGTCCCCTCCCCTCTCTGAGCCTTGGTTTCCTCACCTGGGAGAAGGACTCACTGCCCAGGACTGAGGGTCGGGTGAGATGGCATTGTGGAAATACCTGGTCCCCTGGGAAGTCCTGTTCACGAGTTACTCAAAGTGTTGAAAGGCCAGCCCCCCATCCCCTCACCCCGAGACATGGCTGTCAGCTCTGGCTGGTGTGCTGGCAGTGGATGGTGGGGCCAGGACACAAAAAGCCACCCCCTGCAAGCCTGGCCGCCCCTCAGCTCCACGTGCCCTCCAGCATTGGGCTGCTCAGGGCAGGCTTCTGGCCCCCTTGCCTGGGAGGGAAAGGCTGTCTGTCCCACTCAGGGTGACAGGGTATCTACAGGAGGAGGTGTGGCTCCACGTGACCCACTCACCTGCTCTCAGGGTACCTGCTCTTCCGAGATTTCTGCCTGAACCACCTAGAGGAGGCCAAGCCCCTGGTGGAGTTCTACGAGGAGGTGAGCGGGGGTGCCCTGGCGATGGATGTGCCCTGCAGATGGGTGTGCCCTGCAGGGTGAGGTGGGCGGGCTCAGTGCTGGACAGGCTGTCGGAGCCGGGCATCCACACTGTGAGGTGAAATGGGGATGCCATGGTGCTGGGCAGAATGTTGGAGCCAGGAGTCCACGCTGCGGGGTGAGGTGGGGCTGCCCTAGTGCTGGGTAGGCTGTCTGAACAGGGGTCCACACTGCGGGTTGAGGTAGGGCCGCCCTGGCACTGGGCGGGCTGTCGGGATGGGGTCCACGCTGCGGGGTGAGGTAGGACCGCCCCGGTGCAGGGCAGATCGTAGGGATGGGGTCTGCACTGCGGGGCCCTCGGCCACCCGAGGGAATCCTGTCCCGTAGATCAAGAAGTACGAGAAGCTGGAGACTGAGGAGGAGAGGCTGGCACGGAGCCGGGAGATCTTCGACACCTACATCATGAAGGAGCTGCTGGCCTGCTCACACGTGAGTAGCCCCCGGCACCAATGGTGCCCAGGCCCAGACCCAAGGGCGGGTCCAGAGTGACTCGGGGGCTGGCAGTGGAAGAGAGGACCCAGCTGAGAACTCACAGGCCCTCCGTCTTCCCTAGCCCTTCTCGAAAAGCGCCACTGAGCACGTGCAGGCCCACCTGGTGAAGAAGCAGGTGCCTCCAGACCTGTTCCAGGTGTGTGCTGCCCTCTACCCACCTCCATCCCCGTCTCAGCCTCCCGCTGCCCAGCCGGGGCCACCCGGGGGCAGCCGCAGGCCAGGGCCGGCCGCACACGGGGGGGCAGCCCCGGGCCAGGGCCGGTGCACATCGCACATCCGGGGCAGCCGCAGGCCAGGGCCGGCCGCACCCCAGGCTTGTCAGCTGCTCCCTTTCTCCTGCAGCCATACATTGAGGAGATCCGTCAGAACCTCCGAGGGGACGTGTTCCAGAAATTCATCGAGAGGTGAGGGCTGGGCACAGGGCGGAGAGGTGGGGGTAGTGAAAGCGTTCCCAGAAGGGAGGGGTGTGTGTGGTGTAGAGAAGAAACAAAGCCAGCCTGCTGTAGGCCTGGCCAGGGACATCCAGGCATTTGTGGAGGCAGTGCGTGGGCCCTGGGGCAGGTGGTACCCAGACATTCATGCAGGCGGTATCTGGGCCCTGGTGCAGGCAATCCCAGGGTAGGCACTATCTTGTCTCTGCTACAGGGATCCTGGGAGGTCAGGCAGGCTCCCAGTCGCACCTCCCCAACGTGGTCCATCCCACCTCCTTAGCACCAGGCATCGCAAAGCCTGTCCTGGGGTTCCCCATGTGTCTTTCCCTCCCATGGATGGTCTTGGACCTTGCTGGGCCCATGTGGCCCAAAAAGTATCAGGGTTGTGATGGGGATACACTCCCCCATGGGGCCTGGTTGGAACCCGTCGGCCAGGTGGGAGTTGCAGGCAGATTTTGGTGTGACGTAGGAAGGGCCGCCCAGCCAGAGTATGGCTTCACGGGCAGTGGGTGCAATGTCGCTGAAGGCGTGCAGGCAGGACAGGAAGAGGCCCATCAATGACATGGGAGCAAGAACTCTGGGCTGGACTGGGTGCCTCCTCCAGATTATCTGATGCCAGCAGGACTCAAAAGTAGTGGCAGGGCCTAAGCTGCTGTCTGGGTGAGCTGGCCGGTGCTTGTGGCTCTGGAGCCAGGAATGCTGGTCACTTTATAGACATGGAACCTCGGGCCTGGGGGTTGCCACGTCTGCCCCAGTGGGGACCCCAGGCAGTGATGGAGTGGTCGGGGGCAGGCCCCTTCCCAACACCTGTCCGAGCGCTCGTTCTCTCCTACAGCGATAAGTTCACGAGGTTTTGCCAATGGAAGAACGTGGAGCTCAACATCCACGTGAGTGCAGTGGGTGCTGGCAGCCCCCGCCCGTCCTCTCCAGGAGCTGGCCAGGGGTGGGGTCGGCACCAGGGTCCTGGCGGGAGGCACGTGCAGAGGGTGGTCATCGCTGCCCAGGAAGGATCTGCTGAGCTAGGATGGGCCCGGGGCAGACCCCTGCTTCCTGGGTGCGTCTGCTTGGGGGCTGGACCCGGGCCATCTACAGAGACCCTGGTGGTCACCCCTCTCTGACCCTTCCCCGCAGCTGACCATGAATGACTTCAGTGTTCATCGCATCATTGGGCGTGGTGGCTTCGGTGAAGTCTACGGGTGCCGGAAGGCCGACACGGGCAAGATGTGAGCATCCCACTTGGCGGCATTTGCTGGGGTACCTGAGGGCAGGGAGCTCCAAGTCTCTGGTGTGTGTCACATCAGGGACCGGTGGCAGCTGGTTGGCCCCCAAGACAAGCTGGGAGCACAGCCTGCCACCTGGGCCAGGCTCTGCATGGCAGGGGGCCGGCCTGACCAGCACCACCCTGACGCAGGTACGCCATGAAGTGTCTAGACAAGAAACGCATCAAGATGAAGCAGGGGGAGACGCTGGCCCTGAACGAGCGCATCATGCTGTCGCTTGTCAGCACCGGGGTGAGCCAAGCGGGCTGGGCTGGCGTGGGGCAGCCGCTGGTCCTGGGACCCTAGACTGACTCTGCCGAGCCTCCCCTCCTAGGACTGTCCCTTCATCGTCTGCATGTCGTACGCATTCCACACGCCCGACAAGCTCAGCTTCATCCTCGACCTCATGAACGGTGAGTGTCCCTGCTGGTGGCCTGGCCCCAGGAGGCTCCCGGGGGTGGGCAGGGCCGGGAGCTGAACGCCTCCCGGGCTGCCCCCCCTCAGGTGGGGACCTGCATTACCACCTGTCCCAGCACGGGGTCTTCTCCGAGGCCGACATGCGCTTCTATGCGGCCGAGATCATCCTGGGCCTGGAGCACATGCACAACTGTTTTGTCGTCTACCGCGACCTGAAGGTGGGCGCCCATCCTCCCCGCAGCCCCAGTGCAGCCCCGGTGGTGCCCTCCCTGCCTGCCTGCCTCCGCCCTCCCTGCCCGAGTCCACATGCCGTGCTCTCTGGCTGCCTGCATCCATCCTCCCTGCAGCCCGCGTCCGCCCTCCCTGCATCCACACGCCACCCTCCCTGCAGCCCGCGTCTGCCCTCCCTGCAGCCCGCGTCCACCCTCCCTGCATCCACATGCCACCCTCTCTGCCTGCATGCCACCCCTCCCTGCCTGCATCCACATGCCACCCTCCCTGCAGCCCGTGTCTGCACTCCCTGCATCCACACACCGCCATCCCTGCAGCCTGCATCTGCCCTCCCTCCCTGCAGCCCGCATCCGCCCTCCCTGCAGCCCGCGTCCGCCCTCCCTGCATCCACGCGCCGCCCTCCCTGCCTGCATGCCACCCCTCCCTGCCTGCATCCACACGCTGCCCTCCCTGCAGCCCACGTCCGCCCTCCCTCCCTGCATGCCGCCCCTCCCTGCCTGCTCTCCCACAGCTCCCCTCTCAGCCCTCCCCTTCCACCCTGAGCCACTGTCTGGCTTCAGATTGGGATCGAGGGAAACAGATACTGCGCTCCCCCAGGCCTGGCCCCTGGGCACTCCTAAACCTCTGCAGCAGAGCCCTTGGCCTGGCTGGCGCTGACCGGCCGGGCCTCCGTCGTGCTTTACCTCCACAGCCGGCCAACATCCTCCTGGACGAACACGGCCACGTGCGCATCTCGGACCTGGGCCTGGCCTGCGACTTCTCCAAGAAGAAGCCCCATGCCAGCGTGTGAGCGCCGTCTCCTGCCCCACGCCCCAGCCCCTCCTACCCCCCTGCCCCACCACTCATGGCTTGTTGCCCCACAGAGGCACCCACGGGTACATGGCCCCCGAGGTCCTGCAGAAGGGCGTGGCCTACGACAGCAGTGCCGACTGGTTCTCCCTGGGCTGCATGCTCTTCAAGCTGCTCCGGGGGTGAGTGCCCCCAAGTGGGGGGTGCAGACGGGCTCTCCCCCAATCCTGGGTGTCGGGGCTGGTGTCAGGCCTGGCTTTAGACAAAGCTCGTGTAGGCTGCCTGCCTCAGTTTCCCTATTCCTGTCCTCTGACCATGAGCCCCGGCCTCTTGCAGGCACAGCCCCTTCCGGCAGCACAAGACCAAAGACAAGCATGAGATCGACCGCATGACGCTGACGATGGTGAGTGGGCTCCCCGCCCAGGGGTGCTGAATGGCGCCGTTGGGGGGCCGCCTTGGGGCTGAGGTCTCCCTGTGGGTGCCAGGGCCACAGCCCTTGGTTCTCGACCCACCAGCCAAGCTCTCTGGCACTGGTCCCCCCTCTGGTCTCCAGGAGACTGGGCCCCTGCCCCGCACACACTCCCTCCCTGTGTGGTTGGAGCAAACCGGCCGGGGCGAGAGGCCCGTGGGAAGCTGGGCCTGGGTTCCCTGTGCTGGGAGCCCCGAGCAGCCTGGAGGGCCCTGCCCACGGCCCGTTCCCCCTCCCTGCAGGCTGTGGAGCTGCCCGAGTCCTTCTCCCCCGAACTCCGCTCCTTGCTGGAGGGGTTGCTGCAGCGGGATGTCAACCGGAGACTGGGCTGCTTGGGCCGAGGGTGAGTGCGCGGCTGCCAGAGCCATGCGTGGGCTGCCGCGTCTGTCCAGGCCTCTGCCTGTTCCCCTTACAGACAAGCACCCTGTGTGGGCCCAGCCCCATGTGATGTTCCCAGGGTGGGGGGGCGGCCTGGGGTGGGGTAGCTCGAGCCAGCTGGTGGCTCACAGCAAAGGAGGCGACGAGGAGGGTTAATGACAACAGCAATAGCCCTTCACATACATCAAGTGTTTCCTAAGCGTCGGGTGGTGTGTCGAAAGAGTTACAAGCGTTAAGACGCACAGGGCCCTACGATGTAGGAACGGCTGCTCTTGTCACTTAGACAAAGAAACAGGTGCGGGTTCAAGGGACTCGCCTGAGGTTGCTCAGCCAGAAAGCGGCCAAAGCAGGATTTAGACCTGGGCCATTGCCCCGTGGTGCAGACTTAGCCCCCACGATGGGCGATGGCCAGCCCGGGACTCAGATGTCTCCCCACAGAGCTCAGGAAGTGAAGGAAAGCCCTTTCTTCCATTCCCTGGATTGGCAGATGGTCTTCCTGCAGAAGGTAACTGAGCGGGTGGCAGGGCGGCAGGGCCCGAGGGCAGCCTGCAGCCCCTCCCCAGCCTGATGCCACCCTCTGTTCCCTCAGTACCCTCCCCCGCTGATCCCCCCGCGAGGGGAGGTGAACGCGGCCGACGCCTTTGACATCGGCTCCTTTGACGAGGAGGACACTAAGGGAATCAAGGTACTTGGCGTAACCCGAGCGTGAGCCCCGTGGAACTGCTCCCCGCCAGCGCCGTCTGTTCTGGCCTTCCAGGCCCTTCCCCTAAACCCCCTGGGCCAGGCTCTAGCCAGGCCTGCGACTGATGGGTGTCTGTCTGTGTGTCCTCGCCCTGTCCGTCTGGGTGAAGTTACTAGACAGCGACCAGGAGCTCTACCGCAACTTCCCGCTCACCATCTCCGAGCGGTGGCAGCAGGAGGTGGCGGAGACGGTGTTTAACACCATCAATGCCGAGACGGACCGGCTGGAGGCCCGCAAAAAAGCAAAAAACAAGCAGCTGGGCCATGAGGAAGGTGAGGGTTTGTCCGCTGTGGGGGCGGGCGTCTGCCTGGCCTGGTTTAAGGAGCGTGCCCACGGTCACGAGGCCGGGAAGCAAGCTGGCCGGGCTGAGCCGTCTCTCCCTCCATTGCCCAGACTACGCCCTAGGCAAGGACTGCATCATGCACGGTTACATGTCCAAGATGGGCAACCCCTTCCTGACCCAGTGGCAGCGGCGCTACTTCTACCTGTTCCCCAACCGGCTGGAGTGGCGGGGCGAGGGCGAGGCCCCAGTAAGGAGTGGGGGTCTGGGGGGGCAGCTCCAGGGTGGAGTGGGGGGGCCTAGGGTGGGGATGTGTGTCTGGGGTGGAGTGGCCAGGCCCCAGTAATGAGTGAGGTGTGGGGGGCAGCCAGGGGATGCTGGGGGGGCCCTGGGGCCAGGGAGGGCCCAGGGTGGGGTGGCTCCAGGGTGGCCACCCAGGGTAGGTGGAGTGGCTTGGGAGGCAGCGGGTGTAGGGGGGGCAGCACTGGAGTTGGGGGCGGCCTGGGGCAGGGAGCCCTGGGTGGGTGGAGCGGCCCAGGACAGGGGACTGCGTGGGCGTGGGGGGACAAGGGTGCACTGGGGGAGGGACACCAGGGCGAGGCAGCCCGGGAAGAGGCGGGGCTAGCGGCAGCCCTGTCCCGAGCCCTCAGCAACCCGGCATACCCTGCAGCAGAGCCTGCTGACCATGGAGGAGATCCAGTCGGTGGAGGAGACGCAAATCAAGGAGCGTAAGTGCCTGCTGCTCAAGATCCGTGGAGGGAAGCAGTTCGTCCTGCAGTGTGACGTGAGTGGCGGCCCTGGGCGGTGGGCGGGTCCCGCGGTGTGACGTGAGTGGCGGCCCTGGGCGGTGGGCGGGTCCCGCGGTGTGACGGGACTGGTCCTGAGCTTGGGGGTGTGGCAGGCTGGTGGGCGAGCGCACACAGGCAGGGGGCCCCCACTGACTGCACTTGGGGTCCTTGCAGAGCGACCCCGAGCTGGTGCAGTGGAAAAAGGAACTGCGGGACGCCTACCGCGAGGCCCAGCAGCTGGTGCAGCGGGTGCCGAAGATGAAGAACAAGCCGCGGTCACCGGTCGTGGAGCTGAGCAAGGTGCCACTGATCCAGCGTGGTAGTGCCAACGGCCTCTGACTGCCCGCCCGCCCGCCTTTTATAAATCTCTAATTTATTTCATTGAATTTTTATTATTTGTTTTCCCGCAAAGCGGAAAAAGGTTTTATTTTGTAATTATTGTGATTGCTGTGGCCCCAGCCTGGCCCAGCCCCCGGGAGGGGCCCGCTTGCCTCGGCTCCTACTGCCACTCACCCAGCCATCCCAGCCCTGACCCCTGTAGGGGTCGCCCGCTTCCAGTGTCTTCCTGTCGGGAAAGCAGAAGCCCTGGGCAGTCTTGGGGCCCAGGCCCTGGCAGTCGTGCCCCACTGAGCTCTAGCTTGAGCCTGGCTGGGAGGCCCAGATGGGAGGTCGAGACACGGGGTGCTGTGTGTGTTCTCCCCCCACGGACAGCCAGCCGAAGAGAGGAAAAGCCTCGTGTCTCCCCAGCCCCGCCCCCAGGGCCGCCAACAGTGACCTGGGCACCATGGCCCTTGTTTGGAAGAAGCTCCTGTGTCCCTGGCCACCTCCATTCCCACCTCTCTGGACCCTGGGTCTCGGCCAGGTGGCAGCATGGCCTCCCTCCCTGCAGGCCTGGGCTCAGGAACCACAGAAGGGCCACGAGCCTGGCCAGCCCGAGGGCAGGGCCGGGCAGCGGCGGTGAGAGGGCCCAGGGGCTCAGCCCTCCCCACACCGTCCCTGTGCTCCCACCCGGCTGTCCACCTGGTCCGTCAGTGCCACCTCGCCGCATGCCCCTTGTGCCAGTCATGCTACTGTGTGTGGTGCTGCCTCCCCTGGGGCTGGGGCGGCGCACCCTCCCCACCCATTCATTCCCCGGTGCGTTTCTTTGCCGATTTTTGAATGTGATTTTAAAGAGTGGAAAATGAGACTATGCGTTTTTATAAAAAATGGTGCCTGACTCCTTGGCTCTGTCCGACTCTTACTGGGCCCAGTGATCTGTTCTTCGGCCTCCACTGGGCTGGGGCCTGAAGGGACGAGGCCTTGTGGCAGGCAGCTGGGTGGCCCTCCGTGTGGCATCTGGGCATCCAGGCCAGCCTGCCTGGGCTAGGCCCTTGCTGGGGCGGGCTCCTCCCCGACTCCCTGTTACCCCTCCCTCCTTGGTGGTCCTGCAGGGCCCATACCTGGCTTCCCTGGAGCAGCGAGTTTCCGGTGAGCACTTCCGGGTAAGCAGGTGGTGCCCAGGGCCCCTGCCTGCAGGCACTCCCAGGGCTGACTGGGACCCTCCCAGCATGACAGCACCCCACATACACTCTGCTGAGGGTCCTCCCCACTACGGCCGTGGGAGCTGGGCCTTCTGCCCTGCTGGCCGCCCTGCAGTCCCTGCCCTTGGCCCCCACCCACATTCCCCTCCTCTCTGGCCCCACTTGGCCCCTGGTTGAGATCCCTGAGGCCTGAAGGATCCCAAACCAGGCCTCTCATCTCCCCTTCCCCTGCCCCACAGCCCACTTCCACAGGCAATGGGTCAGATGTGTGTGGCTCCCCACCCTACAGGGGCTCCACCAGCAAGGCCAGAGGACAGCATGATGATGGAGGCGGAAAACTGATGGGGTGGGGAAGGGCTAGGCGGGTTCTGGTTGGCAGGAGCACTGTGGGAGAGGTCATGCTACGGCAGCCCTGAATGTCCATCAAGGCAGATAGCAGCTGGGGGAGCCTGGCCTCCATATGATAGGCCCTGGTGGGCTGTGAAGGTTCCAGAGGGACTGGGTGGTGAGAGCTGCTGCTGCAGCAAGTGGCTGGCAACTGTGCAGGATGTGGAGGGAGCCAGGAGGCAGGGAGACTCGCAGCCTGCTGCTTCGGCCCAGGCCAAAGATGGCATCGAGATGGGGGAGTGGAGAAATTCCAAGAGGTCACACGGTGTTGTGGTTAGCTAGTGCCACTCTGACAAGAAATATACCACAAACGGGATGGCCTTAATGAGTTTATTCTGATCACTTGGAGGCTTTCAGTCCAAGTTCAAAGTGCCAAGCTCTAGGGGCTGGGTGAAACCCCCTCAGCCTCCCTCCCTGAGCTTCAGCTCTGCCTCCAGCTCCCGGCCCAATGAAGCTGGAGGCTTTTCTTCACTCAGGCATCTGTTAGGTGCTGAGGCTGCCAAGCCCAAGGTTGACAAAAAAGACACAGTCCTGATGTTACCAAACCACACGCAGGCTATTAATTCAAGTTCATTTTAAGTCCCCAGGTCAGCCGAGCATGGCAGGCTGCTGAAAAATGACACGGCTACATACAGGGTCCAAGCATACCATATGCTATAGACCATTCCCAAAGCTTCTCCTTATATACAGGAAGCAGACCACATCCCACAGGCAGCTACTCAGCTGCTTGTGGTAGATCCCACCATGGAGTTGATTGCCAGTCTCATCATGGGGACTAACTACCACCAGCTGCCCAGCCACTCAACCAGGCCCAGCCAAGTTGAGACAAAAACATAAACCACCACACATGGGAAGAGCCCAGCCCAGCAGGATGGGCAGGACTTGAGAAGGAAAGAGATGAAAGCCCAGGTTGGCACTTGGGGCTGGAGCTGGGTGACAAGGTTCGCGGTACCATGCTGAGGCAGGATAGCCAGGGAGCGGAGCTGATGGGAAAGGACAGGGCGAACCTGGCTGGCTTTGGTTCAGGACATGCCGGGTGGGGTCGCTGAGACACCTGGGCACAGAGAGGACCAGCAGGATCCAAGTGTGGACCTGCAGGTGGCACCAGGGTGATGGGAGGAAGAGGCGTTGTCATGGAGTCAGAGCTGGTGAGGAGCTGTGCTTAAGATGGCAGGAATCGGGAGGGGTTGAGTGAGAGGAAGCCTGCTCGTTTTGGCATTGGGGAAAGAGCTGGAGGCCAGAGGAACCGGCCATGACGGGTGGGGCCTGGCGGTGGAGTTCTGGGCACTCAGGCCTATGAACTGCTGCAGACCCCAGGACACCACAGGTGACCTGCCACCCCAGGGTGATCCCAGATGACACAGGAGCCGCCTGCCCACAATGAGTGCAGCCAAGGGCCAGTGACTAAGAAAGGAGGCAGGCTTCATGCCACAGCCCAAGGACCTCTCCAGTCATTTTACAGAAGGAAACTCAAGCCAGAGGGTCAGCTCTGACCAAGCTCCAGCCTGGCACTGACTGCCGCCACCCAACACGACCAGGGCCGGAGACCCAAGGCTAGGGCTGGTGACCACAGGCCAGGCCGGAAGTCAGCCGGACGGAGGCCTGCACTGGTTCCGGTGTGGGCACAGGCCCAGTGATTTCGAAACGCTCCTTCCTCTCCTGATGCCAGCAGCCAAAGTGCAGCCTCCGCACAGGGCTGAGAGTGGTGGGCGAAAAGGTGGCCGGCACCGCGGGCCGGCCTCCCACCCAGTACCCCAACGCCGACCACAGTGCCGAGGGCGTCTGGTCCCCGGAGGAGAGAGCTCCCTGCAGGCTCGCCAGCGTGTGGGGGCGGCTGCGGGGCGCCCTGCGCGCAGCCCGGGGGTGGGACGGGAGCCAGGACCCCCACCCCATCCGCACACACCCGCGAGGTGGAAAAGCCAGGGTCCCGCACGCGAGGGGAACAAGGCGGGGTAGGGAAGGAACTTAGGGGCAGCCCAAGGCCGCAGGACCGCCGCCTGCACGCACGCGCATTCGAGGCACACTTCCCGTGGGTGTGGCGGTCCGGGTCCCCGCCCCCGCCGACCGTCCTTTCGGGCCCCCGCCTTCCCCTTCCGGATCCGCGAGGTCCCAGGGTCTGCGCAGGGCCGGGGGCGCCCCCTGCAGGCCGCGAGCGGAGCGGCATCCTGGCCTTGCCCTCGGCCCGCCCCTCACAGACCCCCGCCGGCCGAGGCGTGGCGGAGACCCGAACTCTGGCTTCTCCTCCGCGCGAGCAGTGGCCCGGCAGCGGTTGCCATGGCTG